CATAACGGCTACCTCCACCGTAGCCGCCTCCACCACCATAGCCTCCGTCACCGCCACCATATCCACGGCTACCACCACGGCCACCTCCACCGTATCCACCACTGCCGCCTCCATAACCACCACCACCGCGACCGCCGCCGCCACCGCCGCCGCCACGACCACCTTGAACGGCCGCACCATCAGGGCCGGTAACATCAACAGCCTTTGTACGGCCGTCACCTCCAGACTCAACTTCGAACTCAACGGTTTCCCCTTCAGCTAGGCTACGGAAACCCTCAGATCTGATACCTGACTGGTGAACGAACAGATCTTCGCCGCCGTCATCGGGAGTGATGAAACCAAAACCTTTTTGGTCACTGAACCACTTGACGGTTCCCTTAGCCCTCTGTCCACTCTCCTCAGCCATTCTCACAGAAACCCTAAAAAGCTTAAAACCCTAAAACCCTTTTGTGTTCTCTTGGTTATGTCACCGTGTATTTTCCTCTAAGAAACAGCTGATTATATAGTGGAGCGCAGTGCCACGTTTTCGGGGTGAATTAGTGGGCCCAGAAGACTGTGGGCCATGTTTATTTATGGGGAATTCAATCGACGGCTGGAAATTCTCGAGGAAATTAAACGGTCAGGGTCATAAGTTTGAACCGAGGGTAAGACCAATGGTCAAATTTCATTTGAACTGGCGATTTTATCCTCCTTGTTCAATGAATGGAATGGGACTGCTTTGTTGGTTATTGGGGATAGTTTAGTCATTTTAATAGATCATGCAGAAAATGTTGCTGTTATATCTGTATAGCAGTCAAAGAGTTTTGTCTGTCAAAATGTTCAGGTAAAAAATAGGCCTGTAAAGTAGAGTATAGAGGCTAGCGAGTTTATTCCATTTTTATCCTTATCCAACTACCTCTTCCACTCAGTCTCACTATTATTAATTTAATTACAGAAATAATTAATTTCGAAATTGCTAATTTCAGATTAAAAAATTCAACAAAATGCGAAATAGAACAATCTCGCATTTAATCATATCTCACATGCCAAACGATACCTTAATGTTTTTATCAGTGAACTAAATTATTGACGTACAAGGCCTTGTTGAATGTGATAAAATTGGGGTTTCCATTTAAATGTAAGTGCATTAATATTTTTATTAATTTTGTATTTAAGGTGATGGTGTCAAGACCATAGAATAATAGTAGTAGGAATAATGGTATCATATGTCTTCAAACAGGAGTAGAATTCCTATCTTCCACTACATAATCTTCAATTGTTATCCTTTGCAGTTGCATATTTTATTTGTCTATGGAACTTCTTTATTTCAATTATAAATGAACAAATTAGTAATATTTTATAGTATCAAAATATGTTATGAATGGCTAAGTGGGCACGGTCATGCACATGTTTCGAAAGCTAGCAAATTAAGAGTCTGTTTGGATTGGATGAAAAAGTGATTTTTCAACATAAATAGTGTCACACCTCCTTTTTGCGCGCCCGCCCCGAATGGTTAAATGCGCGAGCGAGTTTTTCCAATTTAAGTGACAATATTCGAAATGGANGAGTAGTGTACCTGGTATTTGAATACAAGGAAAGGAAGAGTAGGATCAGCAGCAGTAGGAACAACTCAGCAACAACAAACAACCAGTAGCAGTAATGCAATAGCCCAGAAACAGAGTTTGAAAACCGGTGGAGGAGTAACCCAAAAACCAACCAGACTTAGGAAAAACCAAGCGAAGACCCAGAAATCCCAATAACTCTCACAGACAGGACATAATGAACCCAAAAAAAACAGAAGAGGCAATGGGATAATTCTGATTTTTGTTCTTTTAGACTCAAAGTAGAACACTCTCAAACTATTGTCTCTCTATGATTTCTGAAAATCAGTTCTTTTCTCTCAATCCTCAACTCTCAAGATTAAAAGTCTGTTTTTATCTCCTCTTTAGTTCTGAAATTTCTCTCTCCAAATTCAGTCCCTTTCTTCCTTTTTTTCTTCTCCTTTCTAAGTGTCAAATGAGTCCTCTTATATCCAAATCCAGACTCCTTTTTTTCTTTTTTACCCCCTTCCTTTTTACTTTTTTTAAAACTATTATTACTACCCCCTTTTACCTCTTTTTACTTTTTTTCCAATATTCTTCTACTATGTATAACTTTTAACTTTTATTATTACCTATACTATTTCTAATTTTTACTTAAGTGAAAGCAGTCAACGCGGACCCCACGGTTCCCCCTTTTTGAGTGGTCAAAGAAGACCTTATCATTATCCCCTTTCCTTTTTACTTTTACATCATTATGTCTTGTCCCCCACTAACATATGTCTTGTCCCCCACTATAATATTTTACTATTATTAGAGCTTAGTGGGCGGAGCACTTAAATTAAATAAATCTGCAATTGATTAATTCCCGTATTACCCTTAAAACTACTGTTACTGCCCAGATTCAAAAATCTGTTCAAACTTCAAAAATTGTCTAAGAACCAAAATTCAATTACCAGCTATAACCAATGCCTGACAAAATTCGAACAATAACTTAATTAAATGATGAACAACAAAGAAACAACTGGAATTATTTTGACTGAACAATATCCTTAAACAACAAACCTACTTCCAGATTCAACAACAATAACAAACAAGCATGTTCAAATTACTGAGTTTAAATTCAAATTAAGCTTAAATGGAACAAATAAACAGATTCAAATCACTAAACTAAATAACCAATTGAACCTCAAACTAAATATAACAATATCACAGCCAAGACGAAGGATTCAAGTTATCAAACTAACATACTTCTATATTAAAACTAAATCCTTTTAAATGTATAAAAACAAACTGAAGAAATAATTAATTGGACTTCAACTTAAATCCAACAACATTATAATTAAATTAACAATTTCTATATTAAAAATAAACAAGAACAAATGAAACAAACTGAAGAAATAATCAAGAAACGATAAACACGAACAAAAAACAAGAATCAAACATTTACTGATTTCAGATCCGAGAATATCAAAACAAAATACGGACAGAAATGAAACTTAAACCAACTAACCGGATCGGAACGACGATGAACTTGAACGGAAACAAATCTGCCCGGAAACAATTATCGTACCAAAATAAATCGACGACGAAGACGACCATGAAGAAACAACTAAACGTAGCAGAAGGCAGCAACAGCGACGGGGAAACAACAGTTGTTGTTACTGCGTCGCCAAGCTGGAGGTCGACTGGGCGGTCGACTGAAGAAAGAAGCAGCAGGTGCAGCTGGTTTGGACGTGAAGCAGATGCTCGTCGAGGCACCTGGGAGGTGAAGCAGAAGAAGCAGCCACGCAGCAGCCATGCTGCTCGTTAATGGCGGAGGGGGTGGTCGTTTGGACGTGAGGTTGAGGAAGAAGAGAGGGGCAGCCATGGTCGAAGCTGGACGAAGCAGCAGCAACCATGGTTGCTTGGGGTCGTTCATGGCTGTCGTTGGACGATGGTGGAGCTGGAGTTCATGTTGTGCGTGTGTGTGTGTGTGTTGAAGGAGAAGAGGCGGGCAGCTATGGGAGTTGGAGTCTCGAGGGTGGTGAAGGGGTGGTCGTGGTGGTCGTCGATGGTCTGGTTCACGTCGTTACTGGTGGAGATGAGGAGGTGTGAGGCGGGCAGCCATGGAAGGGTAGCCATGGGAGCTTGATTGGAGAGGAGAAGAAGAGAGGGGGCGGATGGTTAGGGTTTTTAGGTTAGGGAAATGAAAAAAATGAAAAATGAAGAAAGGGGTTGGGTCTTTGGGGTTATGGACTGGGTCGATCCGGTTTG